TTATGATAGTTTAGGATTAAAAAAACTGTTAAAATGTATATATGTTTTTTTTTTGTGTGTGTGTGTGTGTGTGTATGTATGTATTACTTCCAGGTTCTGGTCTGAATATGAAGGGGCACCTCCGTACTGTAAATAGAATGTATGTGGTTTCCTGAGCCTAAGCAATGTCTTTTTCAAGTCTTTGACAATGTTTTAAAGAGTGTTTAATTTTAAAAATGATTATTACATGAAGTTCTTAGATAGTAAAGATCCCCTAATTTATTTGGAAGATTACTGCATTTTATCAAGGCAGTTTCTGATATTCAGCCTAATTTTATCTTAATTTCTTTACCAGAACATTATGCTACCTCTACTATCATAAATCATGTTGCTCCCTGTTGAGCACTTACATGCTTCCAATACAGGTAGAAACTAATAGCTCTTCTTAGTTGTAGCAAAACAATTATATAAATATATATCTCTTTTTTACTTAAACACAAGCCTAGTGCTGTAATCTCTATCATGTTGCATTCCAGGTTATGATGTCATGCCATCTGCATCTATTTTTTATATCTCTATTTAAAAAAATATTAAATTATCAATTAATATTTGATTCATTTGTATCCAAAAGTGTATACTGATTAAATGACTCACATATGTGAAGATTTATATCTTTTTAAACATGAAATTGAATTCACTGACTAGATTATGAACTGGCACATATATTAATTCTGATTCATGAGTAGTTGCTCTAAATCCTTTACCATAATTATATTACACTAGGATTTTAATGTCAGCAAGCAAAATTCAAATATCTATAATAAAATAGTTGTATTAATTTTCTAAGGTTGCTATAAATAACTACTTCAAATTTAGTGACTTCAAACAACATAAATGTGTTATTTAATAGTTCAGTAAGTTAAAAATCTACCAGTTGCTACTGAGTTGAAATCAAGGTGCCAGCAGAGGTGTTTTCCTTTCTGGAGGCTAAATCTGTTTCCTTAACCTTTAAAGGCCATCCACATTTTTGACATATAGTCCCGTTTCTCCATCTTCAAAGTCAGTCACATTGAGGTTCTCTGGTTCTGCTTCTGTCTTAGCATCTGTGTCTGATCCTCTCCTTCTGCCTGAATTTTCCACTACTTGGGACTCATAATTATATTCATCCACCCAGGTAATCCAGGATAATCTCTCTAGTTAAAAAGAGCTGATTAGCAACTTTAATTCTATCTGAAACCTTAACCCTTTACTATGTAAGCCAACATGTTCACAGGTTACAAGGATTAGGACATGGCCATCTTTGACGGGACCATATTTCTTCCTACTGCAACAGCCAAGTAGAAAATCCTCATTTGCAGAATATTAGTAAATATAGAGGCAACAGACATTTAATATTCAATGAGAGAATAACACTGTGGGAATAATTTATTTTAATTTTAGAGGTATTTAGTTACTCTGAATTGCAGGAAAGTCTCATATTTATTGGTGTAGGATTTAACTGTACTGGGTCAATCCTAGGTATTGAAAATATCTCAATCAAGTTAAAATGGAATTTCTCAAGGTGGGGCATACCTTGCAAGTGATTCAAATGTGTAGCCAGGGCTAAGAATTGAAGAACTGTATAGTAAGTAATACGGTGGTCCTTCTTTATATGTTTTAGCATTACCTAGTACATCAAAGGGAAAGTAACAGAATAAGCATACATATAAAATATATAATAGTCCCCAAATGTATGAAATATAGTTGAAATTCCACTAAAGTCTACCTCCATGCCAGGTTCATAAAACTGAAGAATTTTCTTATGGGTTTCATGAAATGTCATTTAAAAATGTCAAATAAAAATTTAGAAAATATCACAGAATGTGAAGACTTGGAATGAAGAGAGTCATTTTATTAAAATAGTTGAATGTCAGTTGAAATTTTCACTTACTCAGTAAACTTTCCTCACTCAAGAGTCTTTGCTTTCTGTTTTAGAATAATTTTTATCAGTCAGTATATTTATCCTCTTCCTTGTTTGACAAACCAGTAGGAATTACACATGCAAATGTGAGTCTGTTGCAAATAGAGATCTCTGGAAGTTTTCAGCAATCAAGCGTGCAGGATAGGGTGTATCTGGTTCAAGACAAAAACAGGCACCCTATACATTGGTAGCCAAGATAATAAGCAGTTCAAATGCTTGACTGAATGGAACGCAGTGAGCAGCAATCTTGTCTGTGATAGACTACTGAATGGTTGGCAGATAAAGCCAGAATAGCGCAATGTGACATGATGGGGAAAGTATGTTGGCTATGAGGACAAAGATTCTTTCTTCCACTTTAAAATTTCTTAGCATGTTAGGCGTTTTTATCCTTGTAAATCTAGGGGACTGGAAATAAAGATTATTTCTAAAATATCCACCTTTCAGCAGTCACCCAAATCTGAATATTTGTATACATCTTAATATTTTGTTCAGTATTTAGATTTGCTTTATAGCCCAAGGCATATATTCAGTCATTTATGAAAAATGATTTTTTCTTTTTAAACTTTTAAATATTTATGTGAAAACTTGTACCTTTCCTGTGATTTTCTTCATTTTAAAATAGTTACTGAGCCTCTTGGGAGTAAGTTAGATATTAATATGTTTACTTTTCCTACAGTCTTATTTGTTACTATAGCCAGCACGACAGTCATTTTTACAAAGTAAGGGAAAGTTTCTCCCATAAGGTTTATAACAGCTGTGCTAAGCAGCAGAAGGGTAGTCGTTCTTGAAATTTTTCACAGAAGATATATGTGACACATAGTAGTGCTTTGCACATATCTTTTCTTTGTATTGAGAACCCTAGAGGGATAAGGAAAAATGTGAGAGCCAATATGTGGTAAAACCAGAGACACAGGTACAGTAAATCAGAACAATAGCTCAGTAAACAAATCAGCAAAGATTCATAGAAATTTCCCCCCCTTGCTACGTTTATAGATAGATTGACAAACAATGATTTCCTCGCTGAATATTTTTGTTCCTTGTGGGTAGCCATATTCATTTTCAAGTGACATAATAAAAATTAAAAAGTAATGTGCAGTACTTATTATATGTGACCACTTGCTTAACTTAGATTTGATCTCGTGGTGTCTTAGCTTAACCTGCTGTGAACTACCTTGGTTCTTTCCTTTCCTTTTATATCCACATTTTCTCACCTTGGCTCTCAGGACCTAAGATTATCCCACACACCTTACCCTTTTTCTTGCTTCAGTGAGGGGAGCTCAGATATGGCAGATCTCTCTTTCACTGCAACTGCTGCTAATTTCACATATCTAAAATTTGTAGCATTGTGCCCAGAAGATGCAGATTCGGTTAGAATGCCTGGGGCTCTAGGTCTGGTATGGTTATTATATTAATATTAATAAGGATTGGAGAGATAGATAGAAAGCTTGTAGCAGAATGTTAAAGAAAATCTATCTGAGTATAATTCTAATGATCACTTTTAACTCACTGCTTCTAAAACATGTTTTTTGTTGTTGTTGTTGTTGTTTTGTTTGGTTTTTTTTTGGAATACAGGGTGAGTCAGTGACGGAATTCTGAATGTTACATAGATCTCCATAATGCTGTTTTTTTATAATCTCTGATAGATGAAAAGATGGACAGAAGATAGATAGATAGATACATGGATAGATAGGTAGACAAGTTATTGTTAGATAAACTGAAAGTCAGAGCTTTTCTAAGTATATTTTTACACAATCTTTAGTCTTGAAAATTTATTTGGGTTACAATTTTTTGTCTACATTGTTCAATATATGATGGTAGTTTTACACTGTCATTGATCAGAAGAAAACATATTAATCTCATTTCTGAGTCAAATAATATCAAACTTTGAAGAAATTCACTTACCTGTAGCTCAATTTTCCAAATAGTTAAAAGTGACGGTATTGACTGAGTTTACAAAGGATGACTATAGCTGCTTTGCTTGTTGGTAGTGGACACATTGGAGAACGATACTGTACTCTGCCTAAAGTCACAGCATCTCCTGTTTCTTTTATCTGGCCTGGTACCCTTTTGAAATGCCACAGGTACTGTGGGAGAGAGGGAGAAGGTCTGTTTTCTTAAGCATCCTACCTCAACTGATGTACCCATGTCACAAGAAAATTGACTCACTTCTCTATAACATGTAAACTGCTATTGAGTCACATTGTGTTATAGCACTATGAAACAAACAAACAAAAATGCCTGTAAAATCTCAATGCAATACAATGTTTACAGTTTTCCAAACAAAAAAACCCAAAAAACCCAAAAAACCTGAAATTAACCTCATTCTATTTCTTGCTCTATCGTACCCTGATCCAATCTTCAGAATCCAAGCATGTCTAAAATTATGCAATTCTAACCTATGAACTCGGTTAAGAATTGATTCCTGAATAAAATAGATATGGACAAGAAAATGAGAAATACTCTCTTAAATAACCATGATGTATACAGGCTACATATATTTGATGAAGTTTTCTGAAGGTTTGGGTTCTGAGTTTATGACTGTACATAGCCTATATGTGAAAAATCAACATTAATGTGAATGCAGTAGATGTCTTGTGCCAGCATGCTTCCATTGGAACTATATTCTGATATAAATTTTTAAGCCATATTTTGGTTGCTTTCTGAACTCTAGTAGAACATAAGATGTTTTCACTTTTGAAAGTATTTATGTATTATCAGTGTATGAGTGGCCTGAGAGACATAAAAACAAGGTCAGCTTGGTCGATAGAAAAAAATCACTTCTCTATCTTCAATAAACTCGTTTGTGAGAAAATGTTCACTGTAGCCCTACATGCCAGCAACATTACAGCAATGTCTAAGAATTTGAAAATACCACATTTTAGATTTAATTAGGAACCAGTGCCATTTCCTTTCTCTATTATTTATGTAAAGATTTCTTCTCAATTGTTTGCTATTTTGGGGTTCACATATCACACACATAATCTTCTAGTGTGTTTTATAATGTTCTAAAATGCTTTTGACCTTAATATGTTTTATTTCATCAAAATGTATTTCTTAATAGTCCTTTTAGATATTCCTGGAACGGTCATCCTGTAGGAGACTCGTTTCATCGGTACACAGTAAGTATGTTCTGGTAGCATGGGAATTCCATGTCATAAGAATATATCAACTAGCAGTTTTCATGAAGGCTTAGGAGGAATTGTGATTGAGAAAAGACAGCACCATAGAGAGGACAGCAGTCATCAAGCACAAGGCAAGTCACTTAGGGAATATTTGTATTTAAATATTTTTGTTTTATTTCATCTTTGGTAAAGAGAAAATATATTTAAACACCAGTAAGTACTTCTTAGTGCTCAGATGTCTCTACCAGAAACATTTGTTTGACTAATGTTTTGTCTGAAGTCAAACAATGATTTCATTAGTCAATATCATTATTCACAAGTAAAAAATGTATGTGTAAATAACACCCACCATATATTTTATATGACAACAGATGAAGAACCTAATCTTTATATATGAAGGCTATTGTATTTCCATATAATTTTATGGGCCATAGTAGCATTCTTCGCAGTGTTAGAATTCAAGGCAAAAGGTTTAAGCTCATATGATTATTCCAGAGAGCATGCCGCATTGTGCTTCAGAATATTTATCTGACTTAATACTGAAAGGATGCAATTGTGTTACCTTGCAGAGCAATGAAAAGTTTACATAATTATGTAATTGCTGGGTGTTAATTTTTTTTATAAATAGTTGACTGATGCTTGGTTTTTTTTTTTTTTTTCATTTCTCTGAGGGAGCATCTTTGGACAGAAGTGCCTTTATGTTATCATGCATATTGATTGAGATTTATAAATGTTAATACATTTCAACATTATTGCTATTTTTTCAACAAAATATATTTTAAAGTTAAATCTATACTGTGAAATGTCAGTGGTCTCATCATATACGTTTTGATAACATTTAAAATGAAAGGAAGCCCTATTTGATTTGTCTAAGGAAAACTGCATTAATTCATTTAATACTTATTTATAGGACATTCAGCGTGACAGGTGTTACGCTGGGTGTTTTGATGATGATTTATTTCATCCCCAAATGTGAAATCAGATAGGAGTCTTATGATGTACACACAAATAATTATAAAGCAGAGTAATATGTAAAAATGATATATTAGTTGTACTGAAATGAGTTCTAAAGCAGTTCACAAAGAAAACATTCTATGAAAGCTTCAGATGGAGAGGAACTTTGGACTTTAAAAGATAGTTGGCATTTACACTCAGAGTATTATGTGGGGAATGCAGTTTTGATGGTAATAATTTTAAAAAGGAAAGTGTGAGGAAAATTATGGAGGCAAAAAAGCACAAGCTGTGTTTTTGGTTAGCAAATAGCTTTCTTGGAGTAGTAAACTGTCAGAAGAAAGGCTAAGAAATGAACCTGCAGTATTATTCCTTGAATGTCAAGTACAAGAGTTCTACTCTTCCTGAAAGCCACAGTGAGCCACAAAGTAAGGCTGCTTCGCCTTGTCTTCTAACCTTGTTTTTCAGCTATTGTTTCTAATGTTTAAGAGCACTTTTGACCAGGTGCGGGTGGCCTGTAATCCCGGCACTTTGGGAAGCCAAAGCGGGTGGATCCCGAGGTGAGGAGATCGAAACCATCCTGGCTAACACGGTGAAAACTCGTGTCTACTAAAAATGCAAAAACATTAGTAGGGCGTGATGGCAGGTGCCTGTAGTCCCAGCTACTCGGGAGGCTGAGGCAGGAGAATCACTTGAACCCGGGAAGCTGAGTTTGCAGTGAGCAGAGATCACGCCACTGCACTTCAGTCTCGGCGACAGAAGGAGACTCCGTCTCAAAAAACAAATAAACAAGCACTTTTGTGTTCTCCATTTATTTTTTAAATATAGTATTTCATTTTTTTATGGGTTTTGTTCCCCAGATTATTTCTTTTCTCTCTATGGTAAAACTTCTATTTATTTTATCTTTCCCTTTTATGCTTACCCTGACCACAACACTTAAATTACACACACGCACGCACACACACACACACCCGACATCACCTTAAGTTGTTTAATTTTTCTTTACAGTATTTATCATCAGTTGAAATTAGTTTGTGCGTATATATGTAAACATTTTATTTTATTTTAGTAATTACCACCATAAAGTGAGTTTCTTGAGGAAAGGAACTTTGTGTTCAATATTGTATTTCTGGCTACCAGATAAGTGACTGGCAGAAAGTATGTATATTGCACGTATTTATTGAATTAATGAAAAACTGCTGAAAGTCTTATTTCTTTCTTGATGATTTGATCAACAGGTTAGAGATTGTTTATTAGATTAATCCATTCATTACGATTTTTCCAAGTAGATAACTGCATAGAGCCTGGTCTCCCAGCAAGTCTGTGTAGGGAAGCACAATGGGGCCTAGCTGTGTGGTACTGCCACAGTCCTCCACAGATCTTCTTTGCCACCATCCCTTCTTATTGTATCTGAGTCCGAGTCTTCCCAGGATTTAATTTAATTTAATTTAACTTATTTATTTATTTTAACAGAGTCTCTCTCTGTCGCCCAGGCTGGAGTGCAGTGGCCTGATCTCGGCTCACTGCAAACTCGGCTTCCCAGGTTCATGCCATTCTCCTGCCTCAGCCTCCCGAATAGCTGGGACTACAGGTGCCCACCACCACGCCACCACGCCTGGCTAATTTCTTTTCTATTTTTTAGTAGAGATGGGTTTTCACCGTGTTAGGCAGTATGGTCTCGATCTCCTGGACCTCGTGATCCGCCTGCCTCAGCCTCCCAAAGTGCTGGGATTACAGGCCTGAGCCACCACGCCTGGCCCTTTCCAGGATTCTTTTAAGAAAAACGGCGTGCCTCCATTTCAGGTGCTCGGTCACATATCCTCAATTTTCATTTCCTCCCTTCTCCATCATCTGTCATTATTCTTCCATCTATATTCCATCTTCAGAAGATCTGTGAAATATCTCATTGCCATGCCTGTTACCTTTACTGCTGAGAGGTACCCTCTTTATTATATTTTGATGATGTCTTGGAAGGAGGAGCGAACATATGTGCTCAGCTCAGTCTGACATCTGCCTTGATAGTTCCTTAAACACTTTTTATGTATATAGCAATGTGTCTCACATTTTAGAGTATAGAGTGGCTAATATAAAAACCAAGAATGTAACCTTGGAGAATGCCTCCGATGATACAGAGGCTGTGGCCTAGCAAAACAGATAGGGAAAGTATGAAAAGAAAAGTATGAGAAGGGGCTGGAGATTGCTGAATCACAAAATTATGGAAAGAGAGCTTAAGTAGTGAAAGAAAGGAAATAATTGTATGACAAATAGTGACAAAAAAAGAAGATGTTTCTGAGATTCAGTGTCTTAGAACTTTGACAAAATACAAGTGGCAGAATGCATATGCAGCAGAATCTGAAATTTGAAATAAAGCATATGATTTATTAAGTTAAGCTAAAGATCTCTCTCTCTTTTTTTTTTGGAATTATCTTAAACAGCAGTATGTTTACTAGGGTTTTCTTAATACCATAATTGTTTTAGCAAAGTGTTTCCAACATATTATGAGGACAAAAAAATAGTTCGAAATAACATTTGCCTCAATGTTTCTTCTAGAAGTCAACTTTTGCTTTTCCTTTTAGTTTTAATATAATGGCTAAGTAAGAGAAAGAAAATTATGGAAATTCACTGGGTTTCATGTTAGGAAATAGCCGATCTATCTATAATGATTTTAATTCAATCTCCTATTGTCAACCTTCCATGAAGCAGAAAATTTAAAGCATATACCAGAAAATAAGCACTGCAATGTATTTTATAGACCTTACAAGTAAAATATTAAGTCACATATAGTTATAATTGATTGAATTTTTATCATCTTTATTGTTCATAAAGCTAGCAGATGAAATTTTCTATTATTCTAAAATCCAGGTCAAAGTTTTATGTAGTGATTTTATATATAATGGAGGTCTCATGGAATTGAATAGCGAATATATAATTTTGTTTTCCAGAATATGTATTGTTTATTAATTGCCTCTTTCAATATATGTCATTGGCACTGTCGTAAATGGTTTCTAGAAAGAGGACAATAAATCCATTTTTAAATGTTGAATATAGAAATGACTTTCTGTAATTGACAAATAACGAATTTTTATTTTATTAATCTGAGTTGAATAATTTATTCTGGGCCCCAAAGCAGTTAATTTAACTTGTTTATATTCCAGAGTGTGCTAAAATTAAGAGTCCTAAATTTAAAAAAATTAGAAAACAATTTTTAGTTTACAGTCCAGCAAAATTTTAATTTCAAATTATTAGTCAAATTAAATGTTTAGTTCAGTTTTGCCATCTAAAAATTATAAATGGTATTAAGAAAATGATTTCAATACATTATTTATAATTGCATTTTCTTTGTGATAAATTCAAAAGGAGCTACGGAGCACAACCACACAAACAGTAATCCTGTAACACTGTACTGAAGTTAGAACAGAACTGACATATTTGGTCTTAATTAGGTGAAAAGAAAGGCCTGGAGAAACATACAGAGTAAAAATTTCATTGTACTGTAGAAAGCAAATTATTAGGTTGTTAAAATATACTTTTAAATTATGCAGTGATATATGAATACATTTTATTTACAAATTTTCTGTTAATCAAGGGGCTTACTAATTAAAAAAGTAAAAGTCTCATTTTATCCTTTTCTCTTACATACACAACACACTTTTCTCTCCCCACCAATGTACATTTATTACAATAATGTATTTATTACAATAATATTAGTATTATTAGGTTGGTATATATTTTTATATGCTGTTACATGCATTTATGTGATGGAAAGGGAGGACTCATAGGTGACTTCTACATTGTTTTGACATGAACAGGATGCAGGATGGAAATGTGTGGTAGAAAATTTATAGATGTAATTTGAATATATTAATATATTTAAAAACCTGCATTAAAATTGCAATAAAGTCTTTGTATGTGCACTTTGGCTTTCAAGGGGGAGATGAGAGCTGGTAATATAAATATTTATGCCATCTACATTTGTATTATTCAGAAAAGGAATGTAGATAGGAACAAAAACAGGGGGCATGACAGGGCTCCAGTGAGTTCCAATA